GCCGAACCCTTTGTTAAATTGCTGGCTTGCCCGGCCCTCGCCTCCCAACCGCGCGGCGCCAGCCTTCCGTATCCAGAGGTAGGCAATTGTGGCTCTTTTACAACCTGTGGACTTCAACTTCCAGAATTCCTGAGACAGCTTGGCTGTCTCAGGAATTCTGGGAGTTGAAGGCCACAGGTTGTAAAAGACCCACAATTGCCCACTCCTTCCCTAGCCTGAGTTCCGCTGCCTGGGATCCACGTGGGCTGCCACGTGGTTCCCCACCGGCTCCGGACGCAAGAGAGCAGGATGGAGAAAGCAGCTTCTACGCCTTCACTCCCTCTCACTCTCTGCTCTGTTGGATCGCCGGTCCCCCTCACTCTCTGCTCTGTTGGATCGCCGGCCGTTCACTTACCTTGCCCACTCCCCATCTATTGCTGCCTCCGATGGCTAGAGGAAAAAAAAACTTCAAATTCTTGCCGCGGGGCTTCAAAGGCCGCCCCAGAGCCAGTGGTGCAGCCGAACCCTTTGTTAAATTGCTGGCTTGCCCCGCCCCTCCGCACCACTATTTATTGCCAATAAATAGTGGTGGGCGAGGGCGGGGGAGCCAGCAATTTAACAAATGGTTCGGGTTTTTTTGTAATTTTATTGGCCCCCGGAGCTTCAGCATAGGCTAATTAGCCCTTGCTTTGATCGGCTCCCGACCCCCAGCTGATTTGCTCTCAGCTGTTTTGCTCAGTGCTCTTTTGCTTGCTTGGAAAGAGTGCAGATTTTTTTCCCCCTAGCTATACTGAAAAATGAAAGAGAAAGTAAAGCAGGCTGTTGGCTTTGCACGTTGGAAAATTAGGCAAGCAGATTTCTTTTCTTTTTCCTCACCAAAAAAGGTAGGTGCAAACAACTAGAAATTTAGGGAAAAAGAGGAGATTTTAAAACACAAAAGAAAAAAAGCTCTATTTAACTAGGGAATTGTAATAATTGAGATACTATTAATTGTATATTGTGTTGAAAGCAGAAATGGTTAAATTGTGGTTTGGAGGAATATATGGGGGAAATTATTTGATTTATTATTATTGGTAAATATAATTAATTGATTTGTAAGAAATTGGATTGCATGGAAATAATTGGAATATTGATTAATATAAAAAAAGGTAGTTATATAACTAATTGATTTATATTAAAATGTTGAATTTATATTAAACAACTAATATTACATAATTAACCAATGTGAGGATGGATATAAAAATAGATGATAATGGGAAGGGGTATAATATAGAATAGAAGGGAAAAATTGAATTTGATTAAGATTAGAGATGAGGATGAAGGGTAATATTAGTTTTTTACAAAAATAGATGAGGAATAAATATGGCAAAAAGGAAATATAGAAATTGTAAATTTAATTGAAATGACTAAGCACTGTTTAAATTTGTGAACTAGCCAAATACTCTGTTCAAAGAAAATACATTGTGTGTTTGTATGTGTGTTTCTAATTATTGTTATTTATTCATATTTGTTCTCTTTTATTCTTTAAAGTTTAACAATTCATTCTTTATCTTAATATCTTTATATTTGTTTGGGGTTGGCTTTCTTCCCTTTCATCTTTTTTATTGTACAGCAATCTTTCTCCTCAAACCTACCACCTCTCTCTTTTCTTTCCTTCTTACTTTCTCTTCCTCCCCCTCTTCTTCTCCTCCTTACTTCCTCTTCCTTTCTCCTTCTCCTCCTCTCTTCCTACCACTCTTACCCTCACTCCTACTCTAATTTCCCTTCCCTTCCTTCATCCCTCTCTATTGCTGTATCCTTTTATGCATATGGACTATTCAGAGGGCTGAAAAAGTTATTTTTGACTGGTCCTCGCACTTTTGACCAGTCCTCGAACTTACGACTGTCCTCACATTTTACGTTTTGCCCTATCTTGTCACCATGGTGAAGAGAAGCAGTTGTGAAATGAGTGACATGGTTGTTAAGAATGCTACAATGGGCATAAATGATGACCAGTCATAAGTGCGAAGACCGGTCAAAAGTGCGAGGACCTGTCAGAAATCACTTTTTTCAGCCCTCTGGGTAGTCCTTTTGTGCATATGGACTACTCAGAGGGCTGAAAAAGTTATTTTTGACTGGTCCTCGCACTTTTGACCAGTCCTCGAACTTACGACTGTCCTCACATTTTACGTTTTTGCCCTATCTTGTCACCATGGTGAAGAGAAGCAGTTGTGAAATGAGTGACATGGTTGTTAAGAAAGCTGCACGGGCATAAATGTGAGGATGGTCATAAGTGTGAGGACCGGTCAAAAGTGCGAGGCCCAGTCAGAAATGACTTTTTTCAGCCCTCTGAGTAGTCCCTATGCACATAGCCACGCCCTCCCGGTCACATGATGAGCTACCCACGCCTACACAGTCACATGACCAGCTAGCCATGCCCACCCAGTCACATGATTGCCAAGCCACACCCCCAACTAAGCCACACCCACAGAACCTGTTGTTAAAAAAATTGAATCCCACCACTGGTGAAAGGGCCTCATAAGTGGAATAGCCTAGGGCCTCTTTTCATCTAAATCCGGCCCTGGATGCAGGGATAGGTAGACATTTCTGGACAGAAGCGCTCATATACTCTAATTACACAATTAACCGGCTTTGGTCTAGTGTCATAAACAAGACTCCATATGAAATAATGTATAGTAAGAAGCCACAGATAGCACATCTGCATGTGTTTGGAGTCACTGCTGATGTACATATTCCAAAACAATTAAGACGTAAAGGAGACAAAATATCTAGAAGACTAAGGTTCATGGGTTATGAACCAGGTACTAAAGGATACAAATTCATAGATAGTAATAACAACTTCATAGTATCCAGGACTGCGGTATTTCATGAACAGGCAAACTGGTCCAAAATACATCTTAACGAGATAAGAAAAAATATAGAGACAAAACACAATAAACTCGATATATCAGAAAATGGAAAAGATTCATACATACATCAAAGAAATAACAAAAGGAAATGTAAAAAAGATTATAATAAAATCAAGATAGATTCACTCACTCAGAGAGAAGCAAAACACTTACATGATATTAACAGCATTCCAGATAGACCAATTAGAAATAATAGAAAACAATTGCCAAAATTTTTTAAAGATTATATAATGCATGTACAATCCAACACAATTACACCAAACAACTATGATGACGTATTGAAACTACCACACGAAGAAAGAATTAAATGGGAATTAGCTATGTCCAAAGAAATGGACAGTCTAAAAGAATTAAATGTGTTTACGCCTGCTGACGTGCCAAAAAATAAAACACCCATAGGTACTAGGTGGATTTTTAAAATCAAAACACTAGAAGGAGGAAAGAACTTATATAAAGCAAGACTGGTAGCCCAGGGATTCTCCCAGAAGTACCCTGAGGATTATACCGATACTTATTCTCCTACTGTAAGAATAGAAAGCGTAAAAATAGCATTAGTGATAGCTTCAATACTAAAACTAGAGGTTTATCAATATGACGTACAAACCGCATACTTACACGCAAATTTAAGACAAGGAAATTTATGTAAGGGCACCACACAGTAAAGATACTAACAAAAATGACACATGGTTGCTCAATAAAAGTTTATACGGTTTAAAACAATCGGGAAAACGCTGGTATGATTGCTTAGTCGAAGTACTGAAAGATATAGGATTTACAGCAACATCAGCAGATAGCTGTTTCTTTATTAGAAAGGAGAATGAATCACTAGAATACGTATTAATTTACGTAGATGATATTCTGTATATTGGTAAGGACATAGACAAACGAAATGCATTTGCTAGTGGAATAGAGAAACATTTCTCACTAAAGTCTCCGGGTAAAATAAATAAATATTTAGGGGTACAGGTATATAAAACAGAAAAGGGCTATTGTCTATCACAAAAAAAAAATTGTTGAACTTTTACATAAATGTAATATGATTAATGCTAAAGGCTGTGAAACTCCTATGCAAACTGACTTTCTAAAAAGTATGAACGATCCATTTCCTGATTTTAAAGATAACACATTGTACAGGTCAATCATTGGTTCTCTTCTATACATCGCGAATTGGACCAGACCAGATATCGCATTGCCTCTCAACTTATTATCAAGACAAATAAGCAAACCTATGACCTTCCATTGGGAAGCAGTAAAGAAAGTACTCAGATATCTAAAAAACAGAGTAGATTTTTGTCTATATTTAGAACCAGACTCTTTCAAAATACCCACACTCAATTGCTATGCGGATGCTGATTGGGCAGGAGACACAAAAACTAGAAAGAGTACATCTGGATACATATTCTTTCTCAATAACTGTCCAATTTGTTGGTATACAGGTAAACAAGACTTAGTAGCAACTTCAACAACCGAAGCTGAATATATTTGCCTTTCCAAGGCTTCAAATAACCTTATTTGGATCAATGACTTAATAACCAATATCTGGATGAAACCGTCATTACCAATAATTATACATGAGGATAACAAGGCAGTAATTGAGATATCAAGATCAGATGCCATTGGACAAAGATCTATACATATAGATATAAAGAATAAACACGTAAGACAGCTTTCTAAAGATGGATTCATTAAAACAATACATTGTGATACGAAAGACCAAATAGCTGACATATTAACAAAACCTTTACAGGTTAAACAACATGTATTTTTAGTAGAAAAGTTATGTGTTAAGATGTATCCTATTCCTAAATATATTATTGATAATAATAATGTTCGGCATTTAGAGGGGGATTTGTCAAGTGTAAATGCCTCGCTTTATATAGACTAAAGCTATACCATAAGATAAGCAAGGGTTAATATACATTCTCCTCCCTCTAAATCAATGATAGGTCAATACTTACCGTTAGCCCCGCCCATCTTGTATATAAGAACACCTCCAACTGTCATAACTGCTCTTTCTGAATGTATTCTGTGAAAGTAAGTAACATATATTAATAAATGAATTTATTTAATTATAATGAGCCTATGTCTATTAAATGAGACATATCTTCAATATTAGTGACATAAGTAACCCTCCCCCCTCCCCTTAGTGTTCTCAAGAAAGTTACCTTCATTGATGTTTTCGTAGGTGGTTCCAGCCTGCCAGATTTCCCTGGGAACATCAGGGAAAGCCTGCTGGACTTGATCGAGCTGTAAGAAAAAGAAATGCCTCACCGTGTTACTAAGGTTCTTGGAGAGTAATTCTCCTTCCCTTGACCCATCACTCACATGTTACTAGCAAGATATCGTTCCCAGAATTTCCTCAGGTGGAATGAGAGGAAAAAGACCCCCTGCACTCTCTCTGGCACCAAGAGGGAGATTATTTGAAGGTGGGGTCCCAAGAGCTGTGGGGGACTCAATGGCTACAATTTATGTTAACTTAGTTTTGCTGCGTACATCTATCCTGGGATGATGGTTTCCACAGGACAGGAGCTGGTTTATCGCCGGCAAAAACAGTTTCCCACGTGGGTCCAAGTTCTGTGGAATTGACAAAGAAAAGAGATGTTTTCTCATTTCTGAGAATCAAGAATCTTGCTGCCGAAACACACTTGTGCAATCTATGGTAGTGTTCCTTCGAACTGCCATGGGACTTCTGGACCCTTACCTTCAGAATGAAAACAAACTGTTCTGTCGTGGGAGATTGTCGGAGTAGGTTCCTCATTGTTAGGCCAAAGGCCTCCTCCAGCAACTTCTTCTCCACCTGAAAGGAAACATAAGAGATGGTGCTCTTTCTTTTGAAGAACATTTTCCCATCCATGCAACACTAGGAAGGAAATCCCAGAAATGTTGGTTAAAGCGGTACCTCAGAAAGATCTTCCTCCTCGGCATTCAGGGTAGCCGTCCAATAAAAACTGGAAATGTCCATCAGCATGGATTCTATTGGTTCATCCATTTCTGGTGTTATCTTGCTGTGGGATTAAAAGAAGAAGAGACATTAGTGCCCATATTAATGAGCAAGCCTCCGTTCCATTTTTCCCACAAGAATAGGATAAGCTGGATCAACTGAAAGCCCTCCCCCTTCTTAATGACTGAGTACCCCAAACAGACTTTTCTCACCCACTATAAAAGAAACAATAGACTGACCTGAGATCATACATTTCCAGCAATGCAGCTAATCCATTGACAAAGCTGTGCTCCTGCAACAGAGCCTGCCAGGAAACAAAAGAGGAGAGAATCAGAAAAGTCAACCTCAACTAAGTTGCTCCAGAACATCTTCTTTGTCCCAGCCTGTTTTAACCTGATATTTTGCTGCAACAGCTCACCTTTCAGTCCAAAGGAAAATTGTTAAGGGTCCTTTTGAGCTTTTGGTAAACTTTCTGAGAATTCGTAGTAGCTTTCCTCCTCTCCCTTTCCCTCTCATATCTCCCCATCATTCTTAACTCACCCCCTCCCCATCACACTTTTATTTCCGGGCACTGGGACCCTCATTTGCACACTTTTCTTAAGGTGAAACAGTGCAGTGATCACACTGCGGACCTGGATTAGGCGATGCTCCTGTGCAACTGAAAGGAGTTTGGCTGTCAGTCAGGGCAACGGACTCTCCCAGAATCCTCAGTGCGCTTCGTTTTACAAGGGAAGCTTGAACCCTTCTGAGACTCTGTCCATCCTAAGGAATCTTTTGCCCCACACTGAGATTGGGCCAAAAAAGAGTGGGTTTGAAACCCGGAGGCAAAGCCCAGCAAAAGAAACCTCTACTTCCAAGGGGTACCTACTATTTGCGTCTCTCTCCTCCTCTCAGAGACCACTTGGCGCAAATATTGGCTTATTTCCTGGTCTCTTCTTATACAGGCCAGCTCTGATTGCGCTGCTTGGAAAAGGTCCTTCCTCTCGAAGAGGACCTTCTCTTTCCCTCGGCTGTCCTTTGGAGGGAAACCTGGGAAAGGAGACACAGAGGGTGGAATCAGAGCAAAATTTTAGATCTCCTCCAGATGAAGGAAAGACACTAAAATCAGCCCTTTGCAGCATCCTTCCCTCGGAGACCCAATTCAAAGGCTTTTGTGGTTGCTGGCTATGTCTCTTTTAGGGGAAAGACCTATTGCATTCTCTATATCCTCCCTCCCCAGTTCCCAGGATATAGATAGGCTCCACTGAGTAAATGTGAAGTTTCCCAGAAGAGTCTCATGGAAGCAGAACAATTTATGGAAAGTTAATGTGGATTCAGAAGCTTCATGAGGAGCAGGAGCAATTTGGTTCTGCCCAGCCCTTAAGTGCAACCTCAAGTATAGGAAGAGGCAGAATTGGCTTCTCTAGATGCCTACAGAGAGGAGTCCACTCCTAAAGGAGCTCCTTCCCTTTCCCTTTCCCTCTCCTTCCCCTTCAACCCAAAGTGTGTACTCACCGTGCTGCTCCACTTTATGGAGCTCAATGTCTATCGTGATTTTCGTTTTTCTTCGGCCAGACAGATTTGTTGCGTCTTCCAAGGTGGAGGTTGAAGGACTTGCTGGCCTGGCATTCCTTCTCATTCTCCCCCAACAGCATTGGAAGATTTCTCTGCAACATTTTCGAAATCTCAGGAACCTAAGAAAAGGAATGGAAGGGAGTAAAACCCCTTTTCCAGACTCCACCTGCTCTACCTGCTCTGTGTCTGGGACAGAGGGAGCATCTGGACAAAGAGAGAAGCTCCTTCTGTGTAAATCTCTGGGAAGGAGCCCAGTCCTGAGGGCCTTCCTTCCCTCCTCTACCTTCCCCCTCTCCATTTCCCCATCCCAGGGCAAAGGCTCATGGACAAACCTTCCACCTCCCAAACAAGAAAAGACATGGAGAAGCTCTTTAGAGCAAGGCTCAAGGTTGACTCAGCTTTCCATCCTTTCTAAGGTAGGTGAAATGAGGACCCAGTTTGTGGGGGCAATAAGCTGACTTTCTATAAATATACAAAAGTATGAAGGCTATTGCTTAACGCATTGTAACCCGCCCTGATTCTCCGGAGAAGGGCGGCATATAAATCAAATTAAAAAAAAAAAAAATAGTTCCCTCTTTGATAATATTCTGTATCTTCTTTTTGTTTAATCTTCAATGTAAGTCTGTCCATTTCTGCACAATCCAGTATCTTCCTAATTATCTCTTTGTCTCGTGGTATTTCTTCATTTTTCCAGTATTGTGCAAATATAATCCTTGCTGCTATTAATAATGCAATATTAAATACATTTTTTATTTATCAAATTTTTCTGGTGTTATACCTAATAGAAAAAGTTCAGGTTTAAAATCTACATGTTTTCCTATCATCTTTTCTAGCCACTTATATATTTTTGCCCTCTTTTTTTTTTTTTTTTCTTTAACACAGGTCCACCACATGTGGTAATATGTACCTGTCTTTTGGTTACATTTCCAATATTTGTTAGACATATTTTTAAACATTATAACTAACTTAGCAGGTGGTAAATACCATCTATAAAACATTTTATATAAGTTTTCCTTTGAAGAAGTTGCCATTGTTAATTGATTGTTTCTTTCTGATAAGTTTTGCCATTTCTCTTATTCTATATTATGTCTAAAGTTTTTTGCCCAGTGCATCGTTTTGTCTTTTACTTGTTCATCCTCCATTTTCCGATTTAGTAAAAAAAGTAGATATTTTCTTAATTAGATTTTCATCAGAATTCAACAATATCTGATTGAAGGCTGTCTGTCCTTTATAAAGGCTGTACATTTTCATGTCTTTATCATATCTGGATTGTTTTTGCAATTGAAGCCACCATGATAGTTTAATACCCTCGACTTCAAATTCTTGCTTAGATTTTAATTTCCCTTCAGTGTCAAAAATGTCTTTATAATTGACTATTTTTTCAAACTTCACCAGATTTGGATATGTAAATGCTTCCATTTTGCCCCGTTTTACAACCTTTTCTTTTTCTCCCCCCCCCCTCACATCATATTGGGAATCACAGAGAATAATAGTTGTTAATTCTAATCTAGGCATTTGGTAATATTATTACATCTACCACATTGAAAAAGAAGTTACTTGTCTTAAAACTTTTGTTTTTACCTTTCCTACAAAATCAAGTTCCCAACATGGAAACACCAACTATCTTATTCTGTGTATTTTGTGTTATTCTGTGTATTCTTTTTTGGCTCTTATTCCCAATCATTTCTTTCGTCTCTTCCCCCCACCCTCGCCACTTACTCTCTCACCATGTTTAGACTATTTGTGAACCACATTCACAGAGGATGGATGAGGACCTGTATCTGGTCTAATTTTGGGGACTCTACCTTCAGTCTTAGCACCTTCCTTCAGCACTTGCCTTGTCTTTAACTTCCTGCTATACATGTCCTTTCTCTGTCTTTTATCTGAATAGAATAGAATAGAATAGAATAGAATAGAATAGAATAGAATAGAATAGAATAGAATAGAATAGAATAGAATAGAATTCTTTATTGGCTAAGTGTGATTGGACACACAGGGAATTTGTCTTCGGTGCACAAATTCTCAGTGTACATAAAAGCTATAAGTGATAAATCATCATCATAGTCATCATCAAAATGCATTTCTCATAAATTGTAAGATACAACACTTAGTGATAGTCATAGGATACTAAATAAGCAATCTACATAAATCATACTAGGAAACTAAATAAACCAATATAAATCGGAAAGGTGCAAACTACAAAGTCATAGTCATAACTAGAAAAAAAGATAGGTAATAAGAAAGATGAGAATAATAATAATAACAACAACAAGAACAACAAGAATAACAACAACAACAACAACAATAATAATACAGCCTTAATAAATAGTTGGACAGTGTTGTGGGAATTAGCACTTACCCCCCAGAAGAATGAAATATTTTGGGAAATATTAAAAAGGCAGAATATTATATTTCCCTAAATGAGAAATGGAGAAACATGTTTATTAGAGGCAAGAAGCAGCCCCCCAAGTCTTTCTTAATAGCCCACAGCAGATGCCAGTACTTAAGAGCTTACTGAAAGAACCCTACTAGTTAGATGCCTCTATTCATAAGCAAAGCAAATACTGCAGGCATAAATCCATTCGAGACAGGATATTTTAAAACTGCATGCAGCCAGGTTTGACAGCTAACAAAGGCAGAGTGATAGGATTAGAAGCAGCCTCTCACCCAAGATCCAACACAGGACAAAAGTCATTAGGCACAATAGGAATTGTCCAACACCCTTTCAGAAGACAAGCCCCTTCATTGTGCCATCTCAGAGTAGCCCAAACTTCATAGGACAGGAGTAGGCAACTGTGGCCTTTTTACAACCTGTGGACTTCAACTCCCAGAATTCCTGAGCCAGCTTGCACAGGAAAAGGAAGCTCAAATACAAAGCCCAAAGAAGATATAAAACCCCACCCACGCTGAACTCCATTTTGTCAGCTGCCCAGAATCACATGTGGTTCTGCCTCATCTATAAACCATCTTTCCAATCAGCCTCCATGTTTCCAGTGTCTTTCTCCCAATGAGAAATGTCCTTGTGTCTAGTTTCTCTGGTGTGAAATTCTCTATAACATCATTTTGAGGGTAGAAGATGAAACAATTTATGCCCACGATGTGAGGGGTCTGTAGATATTTTCACAGTCCTCTTTTTGACTCGTGCAGTATACAGGTGCTCAATGGAAGGCAGCCTGATAGCAATTGTTTTTGCTCACTTCTAATTCTCCGTTGAAGTCTGTGTCTGTCTTGTTTGGTCACAGAGTCAAACCAGACAGTTATAGAGGTGCAGATGACAGACTCCATACTTCCTCTGTAGAACGGGATCAGCAGCTCCTTGGGCAGTCTAAGCTTTCTGAGTTGGCGCAAAAAGAACATTCTTTGTTGTGCTTTTTCGATGACTTTTTTGATGTTAGGTGTCCATTTTAAGTCTTGCGATATGATGGAACCTAGAAACTTGAAGGTCTCTATTGTTGATACTGTATTGTCTAGTATTGTAAGAAATGGTAGTATAGGAGGCTTAATAATAAACCTAAAGCATTCTTTAGGTTTATTATCATCTTATTCTTTTGGGGGATAGATATACCATAGAAAGCTTTTAAAATAAACAATTCAACAAATGTTTGTTTTTTGGGATCTTTACAAATTTGTATAAAACATTCCTTAGGGTTATTAAGACATTACTTTAAAAAAAAGTAACATTTATCAACAAATCTATGGGCTTATTTTTCCTGATTGTTTAAAACTTCAGTTTAGTTATACTCAAAGTTTTGATGGACAGAAGGTCCCCTAGATGGATGCAATAAAGAATTTTCCACAAAAGACAGCCTTATATTGTACTTTTATTTATATTTGGAAATGAGCTAACCAAACAAATACAGATTTTAAAAAATAATTTAAAAAAAAGAGCAAGGAAAACAAGTGAAGGAAAAATATTCAAAGTACACTTATTTATTTATCCAATTTGTAGAGGGGCCCATGTCAAACAAGGGACAATGGGTAGCAAACAATCATCAAATCAATTATACAATTAACAACAGAATATGACAACCAAAATAAATACATAAACATATACATACATTCTATCTATGGGACATTTATATGCCACCCATTTAAGGAAACATAAGATAAAGAAGATAGAAATTCAGTCAAAAGGGCTACTTTCAGACTTTCAAGGTTCTGTTAATGTAGCCTTAAAATAAGGTAGAATTAGCAGCTTTAGTCACCTTTCCTGTCTGTTTACCTGAGAGGCCTCAGAAATACACACACACACACACACACACACACACACGGTTCCAACAACCTGCAGACATTGTGTCAGTCCTCCAAGGGAAACGGGACAGGAAATATGACTAAATGGGCTAATTTGACCTTATTGTAAGGCTACATTAACGGAATCTTGAGAGTCTGAAGGTAGCACCTTTGACTAAACTTCTGTCTTCTTTGCCTTGTGTTTGCCTTCAATGGTGGCATATAGCTGGAGACATATAAGTGTCCCATAGATACAAGAAAAAATACATTTTGCCATTAAAAACTCAAGTCCATCCATCTGTGTTTCGTTGTTCTTCTATCCTGGGGAGATGTTGATCCAGCCGGGTGATGGTCCAAGCAAGCAGGTCCGTTACAGGAACCGCGTGGAATTCTGTCCAAACTGCTTCACAGCCTAAGAAGAGACAAATCACAGGGCAGAAAGCAGAATCAACCATAGGCTTGAGAGAACAAAACCCCACATTTGCAGAAACTGAACCATCTCTTAGTCCAACCCTGCATACTACCAACCTGCTGCAGCATATTAGAAATGATGATGGTCGGCATCTGCTCCGCAGAATCTTCAGCCCCAGTGCCATCTTCCAAACCCCAAGGGAACCTTTAGCAGGAGGGAGTTCTGGTCTTCCAGTGATCTCAAAACACAGATACCAACAATTATTTTACAGTCAGAAGTTATAACTGTTGCGGGTAACAGCTTCCCTCAGCATAGTATGCAGCGGACCGGAAAGAAAACAGATATGTTGCTGGTTAAATACACAGATACTCACAGACTCTGAACGGTAAAAAACAAAACATTCTTTACTCTTAGTGAAAAAAACAAACTTGGTTTCTCAAAACAATGATAACACGTCTTCGAATAATCACTCTCCAACACAAAACATAGTTTGCTTACAGTTCTCTTCAGTCACACACAGTTCCTCATCAGGAGATCAACTATCAAATAGCAGGAGCAGGACCTCCCGGGCTTCTTGTCTACTTTTATGGCTGCCTGATAATAGCACAGCCAATCATTCTTCTTATAACATTTAAAGTCACAAACATAGTTTTGTATATATTACCTACCCAACCTTAGGATAAATATCCAACAATAACAGATCAAATTCAACTATTATACATAACTTACATAATGTATAGAAGGAAGAACCAAAGGGCCATTTCCTGAGATATGGTAGCTTTTCTTCATAGGTGGATCAAGGGTGGAGGGGGGAGGTTACAGCTCCTCTATTTCTAGATCTCCTGCATGAAAATAAAAGGTGAGGAAAATTGAAAGAAAGAGATTGAAATTTGATCTGTTTGCTACACAGCTGGAAAACATATACAGGTTTCCGATCTATGGGAGTTGTCCTCAATTTATGACAACAAGGGAGCTCAAACTCTGCATGATCAGTGATTACAGTTTTAAATCAAGTTGCCACATGACCGAATTCTATTTCACAATTGTTTTTACAACAATTGTTAAGTGAATCATATGATGATAAATCTAAAAGCAGATTAAACAGTGGCTGGTTCCCCCACCACCACCACCTTTTTTTTTTCTTTTTGCCTTAAAACAATGAAAATATCTCAAACTGCAATCATGTAACCATTGGATGCTGCAAAGGATTGTAAATTTGAACTTCTTGCCAACTACACGAAATGTGATGAAATTAGTGTACGGTTGATATGACTGTCGTAACTAAGAGGACAGGTCATAAGTAATCCTCCCCCCTCCCCTTTGTGTTCTCAATAAAGTTACCTTCATTGATGTTTTTGTTGGTGGTTCCAGCCTGCCAGATTTCCCTGGGAACATCAGGGAAAACCTGGTGGACTTCATCAAGCTGTAAAATAAAGAAATCCCTCACCATGTTGCCAAGGTTCTTGGAGAGTAATTCTCCTTCCCTTGGCCCATCACTCACATATTACTGGCAAGATATCCTTCCCAGAATTTCCTCAAGTAGAATGAGAGGAAAAAGACCCTCCTGCACTCTCTCTGGCAGCAAGAGGGAGGTTATTTAGGGGTGGGGTCCCAAAAGCTGCGGGGGACTCAGAGGTTACAATTTATGTTAATTTAGTTTTGCTGCGTACATCTATCCTGAGATGATGGTTTCCACAGGACAGGAGCTGGTTTATCACCGGCAAAAACAGTTTCACACATGGGTCCAAGTGCTGTGGAATTGACAAAGAAAAGACATGTTTTCTCATTTCTGAGAATCAAGAATCTTGCTGCCGAAACACACTTGTGCAATCTATGGTAGTGTTCCTTCGAACTATCATGGAACTTCTGGACCCTTACCTTCAGAATGAAAACAAACTGTTCTGTCATGGGAGACTGTCGGAGTAGGTTCTTCATTGTTAGGCCAAAGGCCTCCTCCAACAACTTCTTCTCCACCTGAAAGGAAACATAAGAGATGTGCTATTTCTTTTTGAGAGCATTTCCCCATCCATGCAACACTAGAAAGGAAATCCCAGAAATGTTGGTTAAAGTGGTACCTCAGAAAGATCATCATCCTCTATATCCAGGGGAGCCGTCCAATAAAAACTGGAAAGGTCCATCAGCATGGATTCTATCGTATCATCCATTTCTGGTGTGATCTTGCTGTGGGATTAAAAGAAGAAGAGATATTAGTGCCCATATTAATGAGCAAGCCTCCGTTCCATTTTTCCCACAAGAATAGGATAAGCTGGCTCAACTGAATGCCCTCCCCCTTCTTAATGACTGAGTACCCCAACAGACCTTTCTCACCCACTATAAAAGAAACAATAGACTGACCTGAGATCATACATTTCCAGCAATGCAGCTAATCCAGTTACAAAACTGTGCTCCTGCAACAGAGCCTGCCAGGAAACAAAAGAGGAGAGAATCAGAAAAGTCAACCTCAACTAAATTGCTCCAGAACATATTCTTTGTGCAAGCCTGTTTTAACCTGCTATGTTGCTGCAACAGCTCGCCTTTCAGTCCAAAGGAAAATTGTTAAGGTTCCTTTTCAGCTTTTGGTAAACTTTCTGAGAATTCGTAGTAGTTTTCCTCCTCTCCCTTTCCCTCTGATATCTCCCCATCATCTTTAACTCTCTCCCTACCCATCACACTTTTATTTCCGGGCACTGGGACCCTCATTTGCACACTTTTCTTAAAGTGAAACAGTGCAGTGATCGCACTGAGGACATGGATTAGGCGATCCTTCAGTGCAACTGAAAACAGTTTGGCTGTCAGTCAGGGCAACTGACTCTCCTAGAATCCCCAGTGCGCTTCCTATTACAAGGAAAGCTTGAACCCTTCTGAGACTCTGTTCATCCTAAGGAATCTTTTGCCCCACACTGAGATTGGGCAAAAAAAGAGTCGGTTTGAAACCCGGAGGCAAAGCCCAGTGAAGGAAACCTCTACTTCCAAGGGGTACCTACTATTTGCTGTGTCTCTCTCCTCCTCTCAGAGACCACTTGGCACAGATATTGGTTTATCTCCTGGTCTCTTCTTATATAGGCCAGCTCTGATTGCGCTGCTTGGAAAAGGTCCTTCCTCTCGAAGAGGACCTTCTCT